GGCGGACATCACGATACGCAGCAATGAGCGATCGACTGAAGGAGGAGGAGGATTTTATCGTATTTTCTAAAAAAAAATATAGTAGTCATTACATTTATACTTTGTCGTTATGTCAACTTTAACTGGGTTAACTGGTATTCATGAATGTGCTGTGATCTCAGAGGCTCTTAAATGTATTTGACATGCTTTATTACGATTCTGAATAAAACACAATCACATTCACTACTTGGATCGCCATATACAATTGGGAATGCTGTCTCAGAATTTTGCACTAAGAATTCTGCTTTTCATCTCTTTGGCTTACTACGACCGCGATATTCATTTCAAAGATTATTTTTGGTTAAATTAATAGATAATTTTCGCCCCTATCTGTACGATTTCTGCGGTTTTATTGTTCCACGTTAAAGGTAATTCCTATGAACAATCCTAGTTTGCACAACAATGGCCTCTTTAACTGGATCGGAAGTAAACCACTTAAATAAATTAAGCAGAACAGCACAGAGTTACGGCTTTGCCAAAATCGACTATATTAGTACAAAATAGAACACAAAAAAGTGTGACAGAGTGTATCTACACTAACACTATCACTACACATCATATCTATGACTTTTAGTCTTAAAGAATTTATTTATTTAAAACAACATTTTTCTATTTTCCGACTGCGGAAAATCAGTGACACAGTCAATCAAAGTGCACGAAACGTCAACCGAAAGCACTTTTTTTTTAAATCGGGTAATTTTTAATTTTGAGCAACTTGTCTAACTGACGATAATGTGTAATGAAAAAATGTCCAAAGGTCTCATTTAAGTAGGAAAAATTTATTACTTAGTTCAAATAAATTACTAAATGTAACTTAATCAAAAGCGGATCATAAAGACATCAATAGAAGAAAAACGTTTTCTTTAAAGAAGCCCACGCTATTACTAAAAGTACTTGATTTACTTACGGTTTCTGAGAATAAGTTTGTCAGACAGCTAATCGTAAATAAGCAAAAATATTATTTGACTGTTTCAAAAATTGGCAGATTTTTTTCAAATCAGATTAACTTTACAATAAAATAATTTTATTAACATAATACTTTTGCTACCACCATTACACCATAAGGTACCGACCAATTTATTTGAGTCTCTCTCTGTGGAAACCAAACCTACTATCACATCATATGAGATGCCCTTTTAAAACCATTTTCGTTACAATCAAAATCATAACGACCTTTATAACATACTAGAGGTCCCGCAGTAGTCGAAATTCGACTATAATTAATTGGAATTGTAAATTTGTACACTATTATGATTGTATTTTATACTTCTATAGTCACAAATTTCGCCAAGGCCACACTATAAAAAATATTAATAAAGACAAACAATATTTAATCTATTCTCAATTTGACCACAGACGTCAAGAATAAAAGTTTGACAATAAATAGTATGCATGCGTGTGTGCGTCAAATACATGGTATGTAGTGTGTGTAGTGTTTTCTTTATTGATTTAATGTATATTTTATGCATTATTTTAAAAAATATTAGCATTGTACACTTCTTCTCTATATTCTCTATAAGTGTGGAAAATTTCATACACCTCCGTTTACGCAATTTTCGTAAAAAGGGATACAAAGTTTTTGCTTCACGTATTAATATTACATATAACCAAGCAAACACAAAGTAACATCAATTGTTTACCAATCACTGTCGCTTATGTTCACATATATACATTGCTCGATACGTCAATCTCACTTAACGACAAATCGACGAAGCGAAATCTCCTAGTTATAAGCGAAAGCGGAATTTAGAGGAAAATTAAAAAAACGCTATGTTGCTTTATCCTATGATATTATTTTGTTTATCAGTTCATTTAACTTTACGAGATTTGTTGCAACGAAATTCATGAATTGCTTAAGTTCGCCTTAATACTATTAATATTATAATATTGTTCCTCTACTCGAGCTCTAGGCTCGGTTTACTGAGCTCCCGCCCCGAGACCCTCAGGGAAAGGGTGACTCAGTTTCCCCTCCTACGAAGACCGTATCTCCCAAGACTTTCGTGATGATGGTGACCGTGTGTATGGCAGCTTGTTTCTGCGTGATGTGTGGGTTGATGTTTGCATCTATTTATCTATGTATTTCTGTAGGCTTTTGGTTATTACTCCGGTTGCACCTATTACTATTGATACTGTTTCTGTGTGTGTTTTCCATGATCTGGTTATTTCGGTTTTGAGTGCATGGTGCATACTTAGCTTTTCTATTTCTTTTGCTCCTATATTGTAGTCTGAGGGAACTGTTACATCTAAAAGGGTTGTTTTGTTGTCGGTTTTGTTTATATAAATAATGTCTGGTCTATTGTGTACTATTGTAACTATTATATATTGAATACATAATATTATATTATACAATATTATACAGATAATTTAATACCTGATATTCCTACTATACATTATTCTGATCATTAACAAAACAAAATAATTATAAAACTCCCCTTTTCTTGACTTAGACCACATCCAAGTCTAGTGGTCCAAGCAACCCGTTTCGAGTACCCATTTGTCCATCAAACTGACCGTCCGGAGTGGCGGTCGAGGACCACGTTTTGTTTAGTCCGACCGAGGGTGGAACTCGTTGAAGAACTGTTAGGGTCGTTGCATTTTATGGCTTAATTACTGCTAATAGAAGCAGTAGTTTTGTGGTCAATGAACCCGGGGCCAAGTGTTACGTTGCTTATATTTGTAAGAGCAGGGGATGTTTAGAAGCCTCTCCTATCTTTAGCTCTGATATCAGTCTATGTTATTCGAATTAAATCGACATAATAATAAGATCAGTTATTATTCAGAAGATAAGATACTAGTAAAAGAAAATTTTCTGCATGATTAGCTGCATAGACACTTAGTTTCTTAACAAAAGCCACTAACATGTCTGCTTATGAAAAAAATATACGTTCTGGCTTGAAAGTGGTACAATAATTCCATTCAGGGCATCTTAGCTAATAAAAACGGTACTTATTTCTACTACCGCCCTGACTTCAAGCCCTGTAATAAGTTACCGTTGGGCTGGTATGTGATTGGATTTTCTAGAATTTTCGAGTACTTGATAGCCTACTAGTAAATTGATTAAATGATAAATTCCTTAATATCGGTTCTGATTAAACAGCGTAAGCTCTCAGTTTTAATCTATAACATTATATTTTCCTTTAAATCGATTATACTGGAAAAAAACCCGTCAACTATTACATTATTGTTTGTCTTACAAGTCTTAAATAAAAAAATAAAAAAAAGCTCGCATTAAAAAGATTACCAACAGAAGTTGTTTCAAGCGGGATTCTTAACAAGAAACTTGAATTCGAGGGTTCTATTTAAGATCAGTGGTCTCAGCCGGCCGGTGTTTGCAGACTGTAGATTACTTTGTATTTGTACTGGACCCGGTTGCCTCAAAGGCGCAGTTTACAAAACACTAATTAACTTTTTGAAGTAAGGCTAACTGGTAGGGGTCAGTTTGTTAGCTTTTAAGCTGTACTTCTGAGACGACGTCCTTCAGGATTTAAGATAGGATTCAGTGATGTGCACTCGTGACATGCAGTGTTTTGTACTAAATGTGGGAATGAATGTTTTTAATCAAATTATGTCAAAGGATTTGATATAGTGACAGTCAGTGACAGATTTATTCAAGAGATAATCTATCAAATTATTTGATAGGAAGGCGCATCGAAAACATATATGCGTAGATTTTACCATTCTGTCTATTCATATCTTGTCACTTCGAGTTTGATCGAGTTTGAGCTATGTTGTAGCTGTACACAATAAAATTGGGACCTCGAACTCAAGATTGGAGGTGGAATTCACATTATGAATTCTTCAGTGCTAGGTGAGCTCTTTCATATAGTGTAATTATTAAAGGTGCTTCAATATCTCTTCTTCAAAATACCCATCTTGAATTTTGTTGGGAAGATTAACAGGAAATTGCTCTCAATTTCTTGTCAGTCCTACCACTAGACGTTGAATATACCCTCCCACGAATACCTTAGACAAAGGCGTTTAGGATTTGACAGATATTAAAGGTGTCGATCATCATCATCATCATCATCTGATCCACAAAAAGTATAACCATTCAGTGTCTAAAAATCGTGAGCAAACTTTGTCAAACGACCGACAAACCAACTAAACTTCCCAACATCCCCGACAAATCAGATTCAGACATTGCAAAACAAAACAGCGCACGATTCAGTCAAACAAGAAATGGAATATTTATATCGGGAACCGTCAAAGAGTCTTGGTCGCTTATTTTAAATCTGTCTCCTTTATAAATAAAAGAAAACTCGCCTGTGTAGATGTTGACTTAAACCGCTTTTTCTCTTAAATATACTTATACTATTGCTAAGGTTAAGAAACGGCAAAACCGAGTTTCCCTTTGTGGTTATCTATTTTCTTTACTTTATTCCTGTTCTTTGTGACAAGTTTTCATTTCTGTGAATATAATGATGGGGTTGTTTTGATTTGTATCTTTGTTTTTACAAAGTGTTTACTTTAAGGATACGCATTGCTTTTATTTCATTATTTTAGCATTCTTTTCCTGTTTTTTTTCGTAGTTAATTTTTGAGTGACAAAAATTTTAAATATAATTCTATTTTTTTTAATTCCGATTTTACGGTACATCTGATGGTAAGTGATTACCGTCGCCCATGGACTTCAGCAATGCCAAGGGCGAAACCAAGCCGCTGCCTACCGAAAATTACCAATACCCCTTAAAAGCCTAATTTTCTCGAATGTGTTTTTCCGATATTTATATGCTATGGAGCTAATAAAACGAGAGATTTTTTTTGGAACGGTAGCGTAAATACCGTAGTTCTAAGGTCTCAGTATAGTTACAACGGCTGCCCCACCCTTCAAACCGAAACGCATTACTGGATTTATGGATGAAACGCATCTATGAATGAAATGATCTATTAAAATGCCCAATACAAATGCGTTGGAATAACAACTGATAGTATGTTGGATTCAATTTATATTTTCTTCTGCAGATTATGTAAAGAAAAATGGACAGCAAAACATTAATAGCTGTTTACGAAGAATGGACTTCATGTAATCCTGTAAAATGAATTTAAGCAGCTTCGCCCTCTACATCACCAGCCTGTTGTGGCTTAATCTGACAGATGCTAAAATCGGTATGTAAACATTTCGATTATAAAAATCATTATATCGGTATAGCTGCTGAAGATAAAAGAAGGGAAATCAAATGAAACAATATTCATTGAATAAGGTACCCATTAAAAATTTTCCACTGTAACGCAGCGTTCCGTTTCGCGGGGCAACAGTAGCCAAAGGGAATGTGACTCAGGTCCGTGCCGCAACGACCCACCCCGCGCTACCCGCGCTCGCGCATCTGTTGCATCATTCGCACCCCCGTTAGTGCGCGCCAGACTTTGAAGCGGAATACACGCGTCCCCGGTCGATACCGGAACTGACAACCCGAGAGTCTCATGCCAGTCGGGCACCTTTTTTTTTTTTTTTTTTTTTAACATTAAACCACCATTTTTTGCAATTTCATGGATGGTGTTCTTACGTGTAGCATTGGTTTGCGCACGTTTAAGAACAAGATAGACTACCATAGCCATATTAGAGCGCATAAGAGAAGCGGCAATTCGCTTTTAACTTATTAAACAATGTCCATCTTCAAACGAGGCTTGTGGAGAGTATTAAGCGGTAGGCAGCGGCTTGGCTCTGCCCCTGGCATTGCTGAAGTCCATGGGCGACGGTAACCACTCACCATCAGGTGGGCCGTATGCTCGTCTGCCTACAAGGGCAAAAAAAAAAAAAAAATAGTAAATCTTGGTTGCCGTGATTGAAACCGGAGTGGGACCATAATGCTGAAAAATGTTCAATTTCGTTTTCGTAAGTATATATTTCGCGAAAGAGCATGCGTTTTCGGACATGATTCTTCAATTGTTACCGTCACACAGTGGGTCGATACTATGATTTTAGTGACTTAGGGACCAACTTTGTTTTTTAAGATTTTTCTTCACGTAGATAGATAGAGCTCGTTAATCTCAATAATAATTGTTTTGGGCAAAAATTACAAAAACTTTATAGTTTGGTCAGAAAAATGTGTTTTATGATTTTTTTGTATGGAGCGGGTCACATTAAATTAAATTNTTAGCAGGAATTTAATTTAATGTGACCCGCTCCATACAAAAAAATCACAAAACACATTTTTCTGACCAAACTATAAAGTTTTTGTAATTTTTGCCCAAAACAATTATTATTGAGATTAACGAGCTCTATCTATCTACGTAAAAAAATTTGTTAAAAAACCAAGTTGGTCCCTAAGTCACTCAAATCATAGTATCGACCCACTGTGCGTCATTGACATGACCGCTTTTTTTGTTTACAATGTACTTGCATAGTACATCGTAAACAAAAATTAGTCTCAAAAATTAGTAAATAGTCTTTGAAAAGCGAATAGAGGTGATATATATGAAACGGTAGGCACCGTCTTGAGTATAGGCTTTACTGGCGTCCACGACCGACTACACAGAGACATTTGAAAAAACTTATCTAGAAATTTGTGACTGAAAGTATGTCACTGAAGTAAATTGAATTTAGAATTTATATTTATAGATCTTTAATAATAGTAGATACATTCATGTGAAGTAAAGAGGATCACGATAACTTCAACAAACCAGTTCATCCAAAATTGTGTACCTACATAGAATACAACTTTACTATTTATATTACTTGAGAATATATGTTTCATAGAACTTAATCGTCTTAGTCGTATCTTGTTTTACGTATGACAAACATCTGACTGCAAATACGGTATCCGTTTAATCGAAGCTTTGCAGGATTGTAGACGCGAAAGGGTCAGTTTCCTTTGAGTCCGAACCAAGATTAACTACGTTAATTGTAATTAATCCGTTTATTTTTGTTCCAAATTGAATCTCGGGCAACGTCGTAGGGTTACAAAAACTTGGGCATGCTAATTTAAATCTTTGAACGTAATTAGTTTTTTTTTTTACCAAAGTCATTTTGGCAGTATCTTACAATTTTCACATGTGAACAATTCACGAAATAGAAGTAGACCCAAACGCCTTGTTTTTTTAATTATTATTTTTTATGGTTTTTGTTGTGATTTAGATTTCTTAAATGTAATCACTTTTTGAAAATCTAGCTGTCATTCATTAAGATATATCTATAGCTAGGGCTAAATCTAAATTCGCGTTCAGTTTATTTTACAACGTAGATAATTGGTTTCGTAAATTGATCCCCTAGAGATTTTCGCAAGCTTTGGGTCTATTAAGGTATCTTTGGTATTTAATACATAATATTATAACACGGAACTAATTCCTCTCAGAAACCTAACTGTGCATAGATAAAGATAGAGGATAGGCAGAAAAGTATTTTAGAGAAGTGAATGCTATCTAGGAGTCTAGTTTAATATCAAAAATGTCAAAAAGGGTCTGTCAAATATGTATAGCTTTAAATAAACTAGATCAATTGAGTTGACATAGTTTATTACCAAAAGGTTTCTGAAAATATTAAAGGTTGTATGAGCAATATTATACAATGTTATATACGTAAGTTTTTGTTAAGAATACTTATTTAACGAGATATCATAGAATATTTTATTTCACCATAACGAATTTGTTACGAATTAAATAGTACAGAAATGATTTTCTTAAGTTTTCACTAGCCATAATTGAACTTAAATAACTTTAGCGTTTTAAAATCGAACGATTTTTTTTTTAATAATTTCTATCTTTCGGCTTTCGTGGTCATAGACAATTAAAATGTTGTAGTTTGAAATTTACATTTCGTAAGCTTAAATAATCATTTTATGGCAGCCCTATTTACTTTCGGTGCCTTAATCGATCTATTCTAAATTACTCGGATAATTTCAAAGCGGACGTTTACAGGTTACGCCAACTACTCGTGCTTTCTTTGTTTAATAACTCAAGTTTAACCAGAGGTTGTCTTGTTCAAAGCGCCTTTGGCGATAACAGTCTATTCTGTTAAAACTCTATTCATAATATTATCTATACTAATATTGTAAAGCTGAAGAATTTGTTTGTTTGAACGCGCTAATCTCAGGCACTACTGGTCCGATTTGAAACTATCAGCGTTAGATAGCCTATTTATTGAGGAAGGCTATAGGCTACATAACATCACGCTAAGACCAATACAAGCGGAGCACCAATAAATAATGTTTCCAAATCGGCGTATTTTTACCTTTTGAGAGCTTCCGCTGCGTGCGCTACAGAAACAGTTAAAGTTTCGCTAAAATTATGTATGACCGAATTGTTCTCCTTTAAAAGACCTAAAAAAAAGTCCGCGACAGCACATGTCTATAATTATTTTAAGGTTGGCTCACAATAACGTTTTTTATGCTTTTAATGCCAAATTTGTTCTAAAATAAAGCATTATTTGTGAACTATATTCCACGCGGACAAAGTCGAGGGCAAAAGCTAGTATAAATATAATATTATATTTTAGTTTGAACATTAAAAAAAAATTTTTTGGATACGTAGCAAGGGACGAACGTATTTCAAAAGGATGGATGCCGTTTTTCAAAAGGTTCCAAAAAACCGGCGTAAACAAGGTCCATGTAATGTGAAATATTATCACTATCTTACGCATTACCAGTATCCCCCACACCTTCATAACGTAAGGTACAATGTTAATATTTTGTTTCAGGTTACTTTTGGCACATCACAGATCTTCATTACGACCCCTTTCACAACTCCCCGGAGTTTCATAGAGGTACAGATATTTGTCGCTTTTCATATTTTATGTTGTTTTCCGGCTGTACATTATTTTCGTGTTTAAATAATGAATGGTGCTTGTTTTCAACTGACTTTGTTTTAGAATATTCTACGATTGATTATAATTTCGTCGAGTTTTTTTTTTAATTAACAATACTAAACATAAATAGTATTTTTATCAATCTGTTTGAGCTATGTGTACGTTTTTAAGTTAAAAGTCTAAAGTAATAGGCAAAGTAAAGGTTTTTATTCGGAATTTATGATTTATTATTAATAAATTTAAGTTTCCGAAGAGTGTGTATGTGTGAGTACAAATTTAAATTTTCCAAAGTCAACTGTAAATATTCGACTGCAAAGAAGAGGTACCTGCCTAATACCTGCTTAAATTTATAATAAAAAAGATGTGTGGTGACGTGGGACACTGGATAGGAATGAAGTTCATTATTATAAAAATATTAATTTTAAGTTATATTCGAGGTATAAAGAAAATAAAACCGGAGGATTCACAACAACCCACGGTCATTTGGTAAGGTGCGAACTTATTGTGATACACTTCATTCACGGTTCTTTGCATTAGAGTTAGTGTATTGCGCAAACGAATTAAAAAAGTATGTAATTATTTTGTACGTTATTACAAAGTTAAGTCGTACACTGTGTGCATTACTAATGAAAATCTTACGTTACGGACGTTTTTCGCCGGTTAGGATACCCCACCGCATCGTCCCATAAGGAACTTCGTTCCAAAAATCCTATTAGTGTTTTAAAATCATACTTTGCATAACAGGCAATGTATCATTAACAAAAAAAGACTGTCTTCGCGTTTCATTGTACGTTCGCGGAAGTGTAAAGAATGAACATCTTACACCTTATTTATAACTAACTAATAAGGATTGTTTATGCATTATAAATATGATCTTGTATTCAAGAGACTTAGGAAATAAATTGCCTGACACTTCGACCCATAAAGGCCTTTTGTTTCAAATATGATTATACAGTTTATATAAAATTTCACAATTCATTGGTTCATCGACAAAATTTTAGATATTAGTTTCTCAATATCTCAGTTTCTCATGTTATTTTTGATCATTGGAAATTTATCTCTCCTCTGCAGATTTTAAAGCATCAAATTATTTTTTAGGCCATTTGAGGGGATAAAATTTTCAAAAATTTAATCTATACTCATATATAAATCTACAGTGGTTTTTACGGATGTTCCGTTATAACTACTGAACCATGCATTCGATTAACTTCAAACTTGGTATCCATGTAGGACATACATGTACTTAATGGATAGGCTAATATTTATATGAGTGTTGGACTCCCTACACCAGTTGCGGGGGCAATAATTATGAGAATCTTTGTGGGGGGAGAAATAATAATGTTAATTTTAAATGCCCAGCGAAGCGAACGGGTACAGCTAGTTATTTATAGGTTGCAGACACAATAGGGGCAGTAGCGATCACAGCCATCGGAACGGGAGGCATCGTGACCACACCTGCGACAGTTCATGGCCTTTGATTCAAAGTGCCGCGTCTTTTATGCACGAGCGTCATCCTGAAACTCTCGAATTCGTGTTATGGACTGGGTCAGTATAGGTAGATATAGAGATATATACAAAAAATAGATTTCACTGCAATAAAACTAAATTATTCATAAATAATACAATTTTGGAGTCCATTTTTGGAAATACACTAGTGACCGTCGTTATTTATTAACCAGAAAATTTGAATTCTTATGCAATCAGATTTGAAGAAACTATAAGCAGTGACTTGACCAACATCGACATAAAACAGGCCGTTATCTCGTCTATGTAAGGTTTAAAATAACAAAAAAATATTAATGTAAAAATGAACATAGTTTTCACTTTCTCTGACCACCTAGAAGGAAAACCCTCAAGTTTCGTTTAAAATAATAAGCTTACAAATTATGTACGACTTTAGTTTTAACTGAATGTGTCTTTAATTCATGCAGGGATATATTATCATCATCCATGGAACACTTGAGTGACGAAATCAAACTGGAAGCCGTCAGAAATGTAACATATGTATTGAGCACAACTTTTAGTAGCCAATTCGTTTTCCCTGCTCTGGGGCACAATGACCCACCGCCCTCGCGCAAACTTGTGGAAATGTGGAGGCAGTGGCTACCCACAGAGGCTTTGCAAACTTTTGAAATCGGTGAGTAGGCGTAGCGTGCATGATTATTACGCGTGACATAAAAAACTGAAATGAGACTAATTTATAAATAGATTTTTCATCGACATAATAATATAAGCTAATGCGATCGTACTGATATCGTGTAATAAAAATCAAACCCGCAAAATTATAGTTTGCGTAATTACTGCTGATAGGACGTCTTTTTTTTTATTGCTTAGATGGATGGACGAGCTCACAGCCCACCTGGTGTTAAGTGGTTACTGGAGCCCATAGACATCTACAACGTAGATGCGCCACCCACCTCGAGATATAAGTTCTAAGATCTCAGTATAGTTACAACGGCTCTTCTCTTCTGAGTCCGCACGGGTAAGTACCACCACCCTATTTCTGCCGTGAAGCAGTAATGCAGTTTGAAGGACGGGGCAGCCGTTGTACTGTTACAAGTGAGACCTTAAAACTCATGCCTCAAGGTGGGTGGCGGCATTTACGTTGTAGATTTCTATGGGCTCCGGTAATCACTCAACAGCAGGTGGGCCGTGAGCTCGTCCACCCGTCTAAGCAATTTTTTTTGTTAGTCTAATACAAACATTTATTTTCGTGTAAATTAATAAATTTTATCTGAGTTGGAGGACTTGATTGGATTGGATTTATTTTAGGAGGATACTACACTATTGAGCAGTCACACAGTAAGCTCAGGATCATAGTTCTGAACAGTGTTCTTTGGGCCGGTGGAGCAGCAAGAACTGACGGACCTAATGTGGGAAGAGCTCAGTGGGAGTGGTTAAATCAAGTACTCAGTACAGCTAGAAAGAAAAGCGAAATGGTAATTATAATTTTGAAATAAAATTTTCTTCAAATTTCAAAAAAAAATAAAAAATAATTGAATTTAATAAATTTAATTATTTTTAATAAATATTATTATATTATATAACTTTGCGTATTAATTATATGTATATTTTCGGAGATATGTATGTGTGTATGTATGTGTACATATTATTATAACTATATATGTATTTCACTAGAATGGTACACCGCGCGTAGTTCGTTTCCAAATGATTCTTGTCCACCTGATAGTTGTCTGGAAGAGATCGCTCTTAGAGATAAGAATGCCAATTGTACTTTTTTGTGTTTAATGTATCGCACTGTTTTTTTTTTTTTGGTGTACAATAAAGAATACTCTCTCTCTCTCTCTCTCTCTCTCTCTCTCTCTCTCTCTCTCTCTCTCTCTCTCTCTTACCTTCACTTATTTTGAACATATTTTTGTTGGTTAGTTTCTTATTTGTACACGCTACTCTCATTAGTGGTTGAATTTAATATACTGAGATTATTGTGAGATATTTAAGAATAATCTTCGACTGATGAGCCATTGACTGCCTATTTTGTTGGAATGCATCGAAAGAAAAAAAAATCAATAAGTGTTAAAAAATTCAAAGATTCAAAATTCAAATCGTGATAGATGTATATTAAGAGCTTAAGTGCCCCTAAGCTCAAATAAGCTCTGATTTTTCTCTCAAAATAAAATAAAAACATGCTTAAAAGATTACAGAAACAAACTTAACTATTTAATCTGCTTATAAATAGGGATAATAGGAGATCTTACAATCTGGTATAAGTTGAAATCTTATCTGTTAAAATGAAGTAAACAGTGAGCTTGTCAAAAATATATTGATTTTGTTGTTGTTTACATAGTTGGACGAGCTCACGGCTCACTTGGTGTTAAATGGTTACCGAAGATTTTAGATAGCACCACGTCAATGGCCACAATTCTGTAGAATACCGCTTTTTTTGAGTGGAAATTATTCGTGAACATTACTCAAGTTCCTATTTAATTAGGAAAATAGGTTCTACAGCTCTGAGGGATTTGAGCTCCGGCTTAGTCGGATCGTTTGATACAAGTACACTGGCCGACTTATCCTTTAGGCCACAACGACATTATTTGCACGTGTAAAATCTCAAGAACGTTCACATTTTTTATCGGCTTTCACGCTGATCCTCTGCAAGGCAATGTGTTTTTAATGTTTTTGAAAACAAATCGATGGTGTTTACCCGTATTGATACTGCTTCGGAAATATAATGCGATTCTGGGATATGTAATCTACTTACAGATGTAAATAATAATAATAAAGCCTTTTTTCAGACAAAATATTTTTTTTTAAATGATAATGTTTTTCTCGAAGGTGTACATAGTTGCCCACGCCGGTCCAGGTGTCGAAGACAGACACAACGCCGGCAGCTCGTCGGCTTCTGGTGGTGGTGAATTGTCTCCGTCTGCTAATGCCAGACTCTTACACATAATTCGATCGTTTAGCGATGTAATCGCTGGACAATTTTACGGGCATCGCCACTCTGATACGTTTAGACTGATTTATAATGAAGGTAAGGTTTTATATATTATATAAAAAAGTAAAAAATACAATATTTACAATTAAATAGAAAAGAAAAACTTCCTATATTTTTGGTACCAAAATCCAATGCAACATTATTTTTTTTATGATTGATGACTTACCGGTGGCCCGGTGGCCTTTCCAGTTTCATCAGGACAGGTGGGCGAGCAAAGGCTCAGCCAGAAGGCCAATGCAATACTACAGCTAGCATTACATAACAAATAGATCCAGATAGCAAATACCTCAACTTTGGATCCGGATCCATTATTTTATCTAATAAAAAATTGTTTAGACATATTTAATTTAAATCTATAGAGCTCCGTGTTTGCAAGAACTATTTCATATTTCATGTTTGTGTGTATATTTTTTTCTTTTACATTTATTACATTCGCTTAAAACTTTTAGGTCATCCGGTTTCATGGGCACTTTTGGCTCCTTCATTGACTCCGAGAGGTGCGGGCAGCGTTACCAATCCCGGCTTGAGACTTTACAAATTTGAAATTAACACTGGAAAAGTAAGTTTTCTTAAAGTCGAAAAGTTTTCTTAAAGTAGACAGATCGGTTTTAGGATACCACCACCTCGCCTATTTCTGCCGTGAAGCTGTAATGCGTTTAGATTTGAAGGGTGGGGCAGCCGTTAGACTATAAAAACTGAGACTTGAAGCTAAAGTGTCAAGATGGGCGGCAGCATTAAGACGGTGGATTTGTATGGACTTCGGTAACCACTTCACATCCAGTGGACCATGAACTAGTCCATCTATCTTAGCAATAAAAAAGATCAACATATGATAAATAGCATAAGGATATCAGTAACGTCAGGGGTATAGCAAAGCTACCGTTAAGGACTCTTTTCAAATCTCGTTTGAAGAAGAAAGCACTGGAAGGGAATCAAAGAGTTGAAAATTAAACTGTTCATGAACCCATAAGGCGACAGTTCCCCATAGAATTATTAAAATTAGTATCAGAGGAGAGAGGTGCGATAGTGAAAACGGGATTATTTGAACTTCTTTGTTCTTCAGAACGCTTAGTGGGAGTTGCGTTTCAGGGTGTGTTACTTAGTGGTTTCACTGTAAACATTGATCAAAAGGCTTGTTTAACGATACACGTCACTAAAATACACTAAAAATAATATATCTTGGCCGTTGAAAGCTAAACTAATATTTTTTTTCTCGCAACAGGTCTTAGACTACACCCAATATTATTTGGACGTGACCAATCCGAAAGGTGAAATCCATTGGTCTATAGAATACAATCTAACACAATACTACGGGCTGCGAGAGATAAATGCTGCGTCCCTACACGCTTTGGCTGAGAAAATCCGGAGTCATCACGATCGTAGCGTTTTTAATAAGTAAGTAAATTAATGATAATAACTAAGTCTACTGCTAATCGCAAACTGATCATCTTTAAATTTCTAAATAATGCCAGATACATCAGTGCTTCAAAACTTTTTATCCTTTAAGAGTATACTCTTACCGATTTTGGATAGTTATCGAACGGGGCTCTGGATGAAAATGTTTTCCACCGCCTTCCCACTTAGGAGTACCGGAAAACCAAACTAGGCTATATTTAATGCTAGCAGAATGATTATACCACTTACCTATTGTTGCCACGAAGCGTATTCAGGATTATACGGGCTCTGGTAATCAGGTTGATCGCGAGCTCGTTCATTTGTCAAGAGTAAACAAAAAATATGGTGTTTGCAATGGAATAGTTCTATTATCCGATTACGCATAAAGCTGTAATTTCAACCAATGAAAACCATCCATTAAAATACGCTTGGAACACAATCGTAATTTTCACGATTGGCATTTCTAAATAACCCACACCAACATACAAATGAATTGGGGATTGGTAAATAGAAGCATAAAGCTCTTTATTCGCGGGCTATACGTTCTGTGAATATGCCGCGAATACAGAAACCGTGAATTTAGAAAAGCGAGTTTACAAAGGATATTAACTTGATGATACCTACATGTTAGAATCATTTTTATCAATGTACCGATTAAATCTGCAAATAAAACAATCTTTAGCCGCGAAGTAGGACTTCGGTTGATTTTTTTTTTATTCCCGAATAGTGAAAAGGCGAGTGAAGGAAGCGCGAAATTGAAGTTTTTACTGTATTATATTATCAATGTCTATGTACAAAATGTATGTATAAAAAAATCTTTAGCAGCGAACATAGGACTTCGGTCGAATTATTTTAATTCGCGAATAGTGAAAACGCGAGTGAAGGAAGCGCGTATAAGGATTTTTTACTCTGTTGTAGAATAAGTTGAAAGTGTTTCTAAGAAGACTTCTTTGAATTGTGTTTGTTTTAACTATTTCTTCCGTTCTTTTGACAAAACCCTCGATTTCCTTTATAAACAGGTATTTAACCGCGCTACGCGTGCGACATTCGACGGACACGTCTGACTGTGACGCGTCGTGTGCCCACGTTCACTACTGCGCCGTCACGAGGGCCGATTACTCCGAGTTCCGATCGTGTGTCCGGAATCCAGCCTCGGCACTAGCATCACGCGCAGCTCAAAACACAACCGCCATCATTCTGTACGCGATTTTGATTTTTATGTCGTCTTAACTTTAAGGACCTTTATCGTGTGTACATAGCGACTGTTCCAATATTAAGCATTAAGGGTTTTGTATGTGTAATCATTTAGGGGGTTCTTTGACATATTTTTACGTTTTTACGCTAATGAAAACTGTTTATTAGAGTATGTCGAGCAGTAACTGTATTCGCAATTTTCACATCAATTCAATGTGGCAGTTTTCAAATTGTTAAGATTTTTTTAAATTATAAGTTTCAATAATCTTCTAACAGTATCTACGTCTAGAATCTAACATAGCATTGACAGTATCGGTAACTTATTCTACTACCAGGGCTGTCTAGTCATCATCCCTTGCCCCCACAAAAACAATGACAATTCGTCGACTAAAAATTGTTTTTGGTTTTATATTGACTAAACAGTATTAATATAGCCTAGTTCGTTACATCAGTAGGTATTTTAATACATATCTTACAAAGGTATTTCGCTTCATTTACGTACATCATTGTAGTTATAGAAAAAAAATATGTATTAATGTATAGAAACTTTTCATTTTCTGAGCCAAAGGCTTTAATACTCATTAAATGTATGATACACTTTGACGTTTCCATTTTGCGTAAGATAATTTTCGTAGGAACGAATTTCTACTAATGGCTTCCCTATCGAATGTTCTGGAATCAAAGATGGCGACTAATAGAATCTTAAAGTTGCATATTCTACTAGTTAGAACACTAATAATATCAATGATGATGTTGGTCCCTCCGTGTTTTTCGTCAAACACGAAAATTATGCAAGGGTCTTTTTATGGGAAACTCTTCCGGAATTTGGTCCGGATGGAATTGTGTGATGTCGAGATTCAAGAAGTTTCGAGATTAATAAATTGTTTTTGCATAAACTTCGTCCTTAAAAAAAAACATTTTCATTTAAATTATCTGGGATTATACATTTTCTTTTTTCCAAATTCATTGTACCCGTCGCAAGTCTGCGGTCTTTAGTTGAAATTCGCCTATGAGAATTTAATTCAACTATAAATAAAATACGATAATTAGTGAATATTTAATGTGATTCTTCTCGCTGATTTGATTGTGATATGATTAAATTTTTGTATGTAAATAATAAATGAACTGAGAAAATTTTATGTAAGTGAATAAATACATTGAATCGTAATTGTTATGTTGTTTTATTATAAAATAATTAGTGGTCTCCCAGTAGTCGAAATTCGACTATAACTAGGTAATTAAAATTATAAGTTTGAACATTATTATGGTTCTATTGTCAAAGATTATTATATGTACAGATTATATACAGAAAAATAATATCAGAGACAAACAATATTCATCTATTCTCAATTGGACCACAGACTATAAGTAATAACAAAAGTTTGACAATAAACAGAGTATATTTAAATGTGTTGTGGAAAATACATGGTAGTGTGTGTAATAGTGGTAAAATAGAGGGAAAAAGGCCTAGGGGTAGAGGTCCCAAACGATGGTCGGACCAAATAGCGGAGGAACTGGGGATACCTATCAGCGACGCACTCCACCGGGCTGCAGGACGGGATCGATGGAGACAGTTGGTTGACGAAATCGGACGGAGTCACGATCCTCAGCAGTGAGGAACCGATCGAAGAGAGAGAGAGAGAGTGTGTAATGTTTTTTTATTGATTTAATGTATTTTTTATGCTTAACTAAAAAAATATTTTAATATTCTGCACTCTTCTCTATTCTCTATAAGTGTGGGAAATTTCGTACTCCTCCGTCCGTTCGTTGTCCACCTTTATGAATGAGGTTGTAGTCTCATTTGTATCAGAGTGAACGCTTATTAAAAGTGAAAGGTAAGATGAGGAGAGGATGCTTCGAAGTAGATGTAGGAATGGTCGGCATTCTTCATCTGGAAACCAATTAGAGAGCCCTTCCTTACAGAAACCACTAAAACTTTTGACCATTCAAAGCTTACATCAGATAAATAGCGCAGATTGGATAAAAATGAACTTCCTCTCTAATGACAACGAAAATATCAATTCTAATACCGATACCGGAATGTGTATTAATTTGAGTTTGATATATCTGATGCTGGATCAGTTTGATAGTAATTAATCATCTAGAAAATAACGAGATGATTGTACCAGCAGAAAAACTGTTAAACCAATTGATAAGTTTATTTATCAATAAACTACAGACCGCTGAAGTTTCATAAGAATGAACAAAACAATAGCTATATGTCGTCGTGCTAAAAGCTCGAATATCTCGCACAAAAGCGCTTTCGATATAAACAATAAATTAGGACAAGCTTTTAAGGGCTTTTGGTACGAAGAATGAAAGAAAATAATAAAAAAATCTCCCTGAGTTATTGTTAGTAGGAAGAAATTAAGGAGAGTTATATTCTTTTGTGAAGTAAATTATCCGAAAATTTAACAATTACTGACAAAAAAAAACTTTGTCGTGAGATATATATAGCCTTGGAGATTTTATTGTTTATTAGAAACTGCTTTAAGAAGACTTTGGAGGATTGAGATTTTCTTTGGAATGACTATATTGTGTAAGCAAGTTTTAGTTTCTCAATATACATTTCATAAGCCTTTGGACCTTTATACGCGTCAAAATCGATTACTTGATAGTAATTTGAAAATCTTGGCTGTAGGTATCGTTGTTTTTTTTTATTGCTTAGATGGTTGGACGAGCTCACAGCCCACCTGGTGTTAAGTGGTTACTGGAGCCCATAGACATTTACAACGTAAATGCGCCACCCACCTTGAGATATAAGCTCTAAGGTCTCAAGTATAGTTACAACGGCTGCCCCACCCTTCAGACCGGAACGCATTACTGCTTCACGGCAGAAATAGGCAGAGTGGTTGTACCTACCCGTGCGGACTCACAAAAGATTCTACCACCAGTAAAAAAAGAAGATCGAAGATGCGTCCTCTGGGACGTTTTCCTTCTATGTTGCCTGTCATCATCAGGCATTTGAGATCGTAGCCCTCTTTTCGAGCAATGTGTCTAAAGAACCCCAGTACTCCGCGAAGTCATATAGTGGAAAGTTTATAATATTCCAATCTAGCTAAAATTCAAGTAGTAATTTTAATCTTAACTCAAAACTTTAATGGCGCTAAAACGCACGCTGTAATTCGCGTGATACAGCTATGTCGATGTTAAAATCATCTAACAGGCGTCGGTATTTCTAAATAAACAGGGGCTTATAAATTTCATCGCAAGGAACAGAAAGCATCGTGCAAGAAAACGGCGGTATGTTGTATTGTGAACCCACGCAGGTAGGTTGCACTATATTTTCTAAATCTGCCGCTAAGTTGTCGTATTGACTGGGGGGTTGGGACAACTGCTAGGGAGTTAAAGTCCAAGCCTAAAGAACAAGGTATCCAATGTACTCCTATAGAACTATGCGATCATGCTCTTATTCACATCCCGTAAGCAGACACCGAATATTCTAATGAATTACGTATTTAGCACGTGCTGCCCACGAACGACCTTCGATTCCATTGTGTAATAAAAATAAAGCCCACAATAATAATAAAGCGTATTGTCTATTTCTACAGCAAAGCAGTCACGCATTTACTGGTGGTAGGACCTCTTGTGAGTCCGAGCGGATTGGTACCACCATCCTGCCTATTTCTACCGTGAAGCAGTAATGCGTTTCGGTTTGAAGGGTGGGGAAACCGTTGTAACTATACTGAGACCTTGGAACTTATATCTAAAGGTGGGTGGCGTATTTACGTTGTAGATGTCTATTGGCTCCAGTAACTACTTAACACCAGGTGGGCTGTGAGCTCGTCCACCCATCTAAGCAATAAAAAAAAAACATATTCTGGTTTGAAAGACCGTATTTTACCATAAAATTGAGATTAGACCTTATGTCTCAAGGTGAGTGGCGGCATACACGTAGTGATGATCAAATGCTCCGCTAACCAATCAACAGCCGATGAAACGTAAGCTGATTCATTCGTATATGTAATACAAAATAAAATTGAGAGGCGTCGACGGCCATATTCACCTTAGGGTGTCCACGAGCCCATAGTTTAAGTGGATTCAAGTTTTTTTTGGAACGAAGCTCCTCATGGGACGATTCGGAGGGGTATCCTAACCGGGAAAAACGTCTGTAACGTAAGATTTTTATTTTACGACTTAACTTTGTAATAACGAACAAAAACAACATATTTTTTTATTATACATCTTTTATAAATCATTGTGAATAAAATAAAGTTGATAACTTTGTAAATCAGTTTTTTTTTTTATCAATAAACAAATTATAATAAAAAATGTATACCCGAATAATTATTTTCTTAATACCTCGAATAGAACTTAAAATTAATATTTTTATAATAAGGAACTTCGTTCTTATCCGATGTCCCACGACACCACACATCTTTTTTTTTGTGTAAATGTGGATAACAGAAAAATACGTGAAAATAACAGTGGAACTCAAATACTAAATATATTTCATAAAGTTATTGAGAGGAAAAAAACGTTTTATTTATTAATATTTTAATCTTTTTGATATCAATCCATGTTGACGAACATTATGTAACAGATTACATAAACTAGTGTCCATTAAAACATTGGTTTATTATCGTTTAAGAACATAAAAATGTCATCTTAGCTAAAATGTTATGGAAGTTATATTGAAACAAAAAACCGCTCTAGTTACGGAAGCATTCTTCACGAAACAACAGCCCTATTATCAAAGGCAACCCTATTCGTTATACTCACATTTCAAAGATAAAGATCAGACATCGAATACCCCTTTACTTCCCGTTGTTACGTAGTAAACCTTATTCTCTTGCATTCCTCCTTAAAAATTCCGAACGTTATCCATCCATTCGGTTTTTGAATAATATCGAAATCCGGCATGAATATCCCACTCATGACATGAATGTACTTCCAAAACGCACCGTAGTGTTGCTAATCTGTGGCCACCCTTAAAATGAGCGAGAAAAATGGGTCACCCTGTACCTTTTTCAGCAAGGCCGCGAAGTTCCCAGATCGCAAGACCCAACCACGCATTTACCTACTACACGCTCGGAGATCAAGTTGTAACGGGCATGAATACGTAGTTTTATGTCTTATGAATACTTTTTAGTATGGCAGAAGGGTTAAGTTCGCGTAGAAAAGTGCTAAAATGCTAGTGAGCATTTACGGGTTAAGAGGGAGATTGAATGGCGTCACTTTTGGGCGTCTATTGTATTCTCCGTGTGAATTGTGGCTTTGTCGAGTAAAGAGCCCTGGGGTTTTAGAATAGGATTTAAGCGTTTTTAGATACACTAGTGGTCTCCAGGTAGTCGAAATTCGACTATAATAAATTGAAATTATAAGTTTTTACATTATTATGATTCTATTGTCAAACAGATTTCGCCAAGACAACACTTTAAACAAATAACAGGGGTTAAAGTATGAAATTGTCGATTTGTACTGAAAAATTAAAATTCCTTTTTTTTTTTTTACTTTCATATATTCTCCGTGTGAATTGTGGCTATGTCGAGTAAAGAGCCCTGGGGTTTTAGAATAGGATTTAAGCATTTTTAGATACACTAGTGGCCTCCAGGTAGTCGAAATTAGACTATAATAAATTGAAATTATAAGTTTGTACATTATTATGATTCTATTGCCAAAGACTATTGTACTTCTATAATCACAGATTTCGCAGGTGAATCTTTAACTTCTTTTCTTTTTTTTTTAAACATTTGTTCGTTCTTATTTTTCAGATGTTGTTTTAGAACAACTCAAACCATATTTTGTTTCGTTATATCCAACTAAAGATTTAGTGGGATCGAAACGAAAAACAGAATGGTCATTAATTTTATTTTATTGTTACCATTTAAAGTTTCCTAGTACTGTGTGGTGTCTGATATCACTAAATAGAAACAACTCAACAAAATTTGGATCGCGAATATGGTATATACTGAGCATCTTGCATATTTATGAGTTCATAATATGATCCGCCAAATATTAGGGGTTAAAACACGATTTTGCAAATTTTTACTGAAAAATTGAAATTCGTTTTTTTTTTCATTTAACAGATTTATTTAATCAAAATATGTACCATTATTATCTATACATTGCTGCCATCTAATAGGAAGGTCATTTATGCCTTTGCAATAGAACTCTGGTGATCTAGATTCTACAAGCTGTGTGAAACCATTTTGTACTG